GCCCAGTTCCCACGCCCTATAACTGTTGATAAAGTACGTAGTTTTCTTGGTTTATCTGGATATTATCTTTCTTTTATTAAAGGTTATGCGACATTAGCGTCACCCTTGACTAAGCTACATAGGAAAGATGTAACTTTTGTATGGAATGTTGAGCAAGAAGATAGTTTTAGTGCATTGAAGACAGCACTTACTAATTAAGCATTTCCTGACTACTCTCAAGAATTTACTCTGTATGCCGACGCCTCAATACAGGGAATCGGCGCTGTACTTATGCGGCTGGACGCACGAGGAATAAATAGAGTGATTGCTTTTGTAAGTCGTAAACTTAATGATTATTCAGTAACGCATCTAGAAACGTTAGCTGTTGTTTGGGCACTGAGGAAGTTTAAAGACATAATTTTTGGTTATAAAATAACCGTCTATACAGATCACGTGGCAGTGACAGCTGTTCCACGGTAAAAATCTTTCAGGTAGACTAGCACGCTGGTATCTGACCATTCAAGAATTTGAACCCGAGTTCAATTATTTACTGGGATGAGCGAATGTGGTCACAGACACTTTGTCCAGAAATATAGCACCAGTGATGCCTCTATCATCGTTCTCCCACTCGCAAGTAAAGGATGAACAACGACTCGATCCATTGTGGTCTACAGTCATTTTCGGGGGAGGAGGCTAATCTTCCAAGGTTACCTCTTCCGTTCAATCAATTTGAACTACAACAAGACATACTCCTTCGCTCCAAGCAGACAACTGAGGGTATTGTTACACAAATTGTCGCACCTGATACACTTCGTGAGACGATACTAATGTTGTATCACGATGCTCCCCAAGCAGGTCACCCCGGACGTGACAAATGTCTGGTGGAGGTCAGAAAGAAGTATTTTTGGAATACTATGAAGAAAGACATAGAATTGCATATTGTTAAGTGTTTGTCATGTGCTCAGCATAAGGGTACAATATCCTACACCAGAACGTCCGTTTGACAGTCACGATCGACTTGTTACAACTTCCGAGGAGTCCTCAAGGATCCTCGTACGTCCTAGTGTGTGTGTATCATTTTTCTAGATTTGTGATTTTAGTCCCACTGAAGGATAAAACAGCCGAATCTGTGGCTTATGCCTTAGTTATTCACCTCATATGTCCTTTTACTACTCCCAAGGTTCTTCTCTCCGACAACGGATTAGAGTTCAAGAACCAACTTGTAGTGCAAATATGTCGACAATACGACATCCAACAAAGTTTTATCTCAGCCTATCATCCACCGGCTAATGGCCTTGTTGAAAGAACCAATTGCAAAATCCTAGAGATTCTTCGTCCAATAGAGAGTCAAATGCACTATGCATGGGAAGATTGGTTACCGCAAGTGGCCGCATCTATTAATGGGTCGATCACCAGCTCTACAGGCAAATCACCCTATTATATTGTTTACGGCATAGACAAACGTCTACCGTATGACGTCCTTACAGACAAGCCATGCCCAGTCTATAATGTGGACGATTTCGCTACCAGGAAAATCAACGTACTCACGGATATTTATGGTCAAGTATGTAAACATTTAGCAGCGTCACGCACTGAAATGATATACAAGCAACATAAACACGCTAAGCATGTCATGCTAGAAATAGGCGATGCTGCTTTGGTGCGAGAACTTGAACGAAAGTCCCAGCTTTCACCCAAGTTTGACGGATCATTCCGCATTATTGCTGAAGAAGCGTGCAACAAATTTAAAATTTTGAAGCCAAACTCACAAACTTCAGACGTTGTGCATGCGGACTGACCTAAAAAGGTCCATTCAGATTCATTCCCCAGGAATGATAATGATGTCTCAGACATCGATGTCCCAGACAACTGTTCAAACAGCAAACACGTCAAATACACCCAGTGTATCTGATGATTATCGTTTAAAACTACGTTCTGCAAAACGTATATAATAACGTTCCTAACATTTATACAATGATATTAACACAAAAAGATTTCTGATCTAATCATTTATTTTTTTTTTTATAATTTCATGAATTCAGTGCCTACACTGGAATGATTCATTTCTTTTTCCAAGCATTTTGCATGCTACAAAAACTTCAACTCAAGCTGCATCAATTAACAAAAGCGAACTAATTGCAAGTATGGTTGGTGCAGGGTTAGGACGAGTGGATGCACAGCATGTGTACTGTATGTGAAAATTCTTCTTGAAGCCTTACAAACAGCCAAGACGAGTTATCTGTTAACTCCAATTTTCGCAGATGAAGAGGGAGAATAATATATCCTTCTGTTAGAGTCAACCCTCAAGCACTATGCTTTCCTCATCCACGTAACTATGCTAGTGCAAAGCAATTTAATACATGGTATGTAGAACCTTTTCCATTATACTCTGATGACACACTGTTTACTCTGGATGTACCAACTGATCTTTTACTAATAGATGAAGACTACTCTTTGTTAGAAGTGGGTGATTTTAGGGTACGATCACGGTGTAAGTCTTCATGTATACATTTACACATATGCCCAGCCTATGTGTGCGCGTTAATTCTGCTTCAAATGGAATATACAAATTGGCGATCATACAAACTAACGTTCGCCCAGCCCTGAAACAATGTAAATATACACCGATTTGCCAGGAAAACTGTTTCATGCGCATCTATATAATGTTCAGTATATATATATATATATATATATATATATATATATATATATATATATATATATATATATATATATATATATATATATATATATATACATATATATCTTTATAAAAAATCACACGGAAAAGGGAAACAACGGAGTGCCTTAGCTTTCTCTTTATTCACATATCTTATCCACGTTTTTCATTGTGGGATTCATATGAAATATATATATATATATATATATATATATATATATATATATATATATATATATATATATATATATATATATATATATATATATATATATATATATATATATATATATATATATATATATATATATATATATATATATATATATATATATATATATAGTTGTTGTTATATATAGTATATATATATATATTTTATTTTTTTATATTTTTTTAAGAAACCTAACGTCACTTTACGATGCCAAGACGGTGGTAACCAGTTAGTTGTGAAAGGTTATTATAAGGCTCTGGATTACTGCACGATAACCTTTAGTTCGTTGAAAACCTTGCCTTCCCATCATCATTTTGCATTGAATTTAAATCTCACTTTGGATCTGATTCCATTGTACCAAGTTTCTAGTTTGAGTCCGTGAACTCAATCTTATGTTAGATAAATTAAAATTTATGTCTTATCTGAAAGAGTCACATTTTACTAATATAGAAGATAAACAGCTATTTTATTTTGTTTTTCACAGGATTTGTTATACCCAGTGTCGCGATCCCACTACTCTTTATACTTGGGGAGTGAATCCTACCCCAAGTTATTAACAAATAAAGGTACAAATAGGGAACACGGCAATAATTATCCCCACCAAATACCTACTCAACTAAATGTACTTGAAAAAGTAAGAACAGTTGAAATAAGTGAATCACAAAAGGGAAGATAATTAATTAATTCAATTTATGTTTTAAAGGGAGTAATGATTAGCAAACATGAATTTAAGGGAATAAGTAATTGTATAATAAAATAAGAGTGATGCCGGAAGGGCGAAAATATACTGTAAGGAGTTAGACCAAACAAATATTACTTAACATTACTATATTACACAAGACATACGAAATATATATATACAACAATCACTACAAAATGATTATCCCTACCAAACAGGAGATACCTTACCACCAGGATCCCTTCCTAGGCCTAACTAAACGTGTCACTTATACCTGATACCCCTAGGGCATTGCACAAGACTGGATAAAGCACTAGACAAGGGTCAAGGCTAGAGAACGAATGGACACGTCTAACCTATGCCACGGGTTTTTCGCTACTGGGGTGGCGTGGGTACGCCGCCGAAAAGCGCGTCTCATCTCACGTGATCCAGACATTTGCTAGATATTTTATATAATTAATTAATACTCTCTTGATTTGAACTTAACAGAGTAAGACAATGATGCATATTAATAACATACATAAATATACAATTAACCTAAGTAACTAAGAACAATAATAATATAATAAGTACAATTAACAATTTATTTATAGCTTGTGTGAAATGGAGGCGTGAACATATGCCTCACGCTATGCGAGTTCCCGAGTGCTACAGGCACGTGACACCAGTTTAAATATTCCCACTACTGTGTAATATTGGCAGTAATATTTTTGTTTTGCTCCTAGAGAACAGTATCATTTTAATTTATCATTGTACATAATATACTCTTCTGTAAGGCACTTAAGACTAGGACCCTAGTAACTGCTGAACCCCAGGTGGCAGTTGTTTAAGTTTAGTGTTTTCACACATATGTATGTAACATGGATAGGTTTATGTAAAGGGTTTTTTTTCTCTCCGAGAAGCTATTTCCCCGTAGAAGCTTGGAAGGTGGTGACCGAGCGATGTATTAGCCCGTTTCATGGCAATAACAATTATATAAATTTAGGTTAATGCATTTAGTTTATATAATCCAATCACCCTACTGTAATTTTCCATAAGCTGTGAGGTGCCATGTGCTGTTCACGTGAAGGGAAATTCCTCTATCAGTAAGCCGACCTTGAGAATGTAGGGTTAGCCCAGCCTCTCCTTCAGAGCTCCCCTCACAGGCACCAGTCTTGACTTGAAGCTCACGAGAATTGGACGGGTGACCAAACTCAGTCAAGCTGAGCCCCGTCCTTAGCTAACACTCACAGCTTACAGTGTTAATTACGGTGCATCTACTTATAGACTGTGACCAATATAGTTTTACCAATAAATGGAGAAAAGACCATTTGGGGTTTGTAACTTAACCCCTCAACTTATTTATATATAAGCCAAGTTAAGGGAACTCTACCCAAAGCTTATACACTCAAATATGACCTAGATGACTGAAATTTGACCTGAATGACTGAAATATGACTTAGATGACTCACCCAAACCTCATCTGTGAGTGGAGGTTGTCCATCTCCTTGAGGAACTGGCAGAAGTGTCGGCCCGTGACCCGCAGCATCTTGTCGTACTGGTAGTGGCTGCAGTACCTGACGAAGCACCTGTGTGAGGGAGGTGGTGGGAGGTTACTCTGTCTGTCTGTCTGTCTGTCTGTCTGACTAAAACACACACACACACTCTCTTCATCCTTGACCACCGACGGGTCAGACGCACCTGGCGCTGCTCAGCAGCAGCCAGGTCAACTGTTATGTTGGCCCATACCAGCTCTCTCCCCTGAACCCTCCTCCCCACCGGAATATCAACAAGTTCTCGCCAGAAGTTACTATTTCATCTGGGAAAGGAATGGAACTAGTGTTGAATAGTGGTGAACAGTGCTTAAGTCAGTGAAAAACAACTCGGCAGTTGAGTCTTACCCAAGCTAACCTTCACACAGTGAGGTCCCAGGTACCCAGTGATAATTCCCCTGAGACTCCACGATAGAGAGGCCTGGGACCACAACTCAGACCACGTGGTGTCCCCATGATGCTACGACACCACGTAGTGAATGAGTTGCTACAGCATCATGTGAAGTTCCTCATACACCATCTGTGAGGGAATTACTACGCCATGTGATGCCCCTCATAACACCATCTGTGAGGGAATTACTATACCACATCAGGCCCCTCATACACCATCTGTGAGGGAATTACTACACCACATCAGGCCCCTCATAACACCATCTGTGAGGTAACTACTACATCATCAGGCCCCTCATACACCATCTGTGAGGGAATTACTACACCACATCAGGCCCCTCATAACACCATCTGTGAGGTAACTACTACATCATCAGGCCCCTCGTAACACCATCTGTAAGGGAATTACTACACCACGTCAAGCCCCTCACAACTCCACCTGTGAGGGAACTAGTACTCCACGTGATGCCCCTCATAACACCATCTGTGAGGGAGTTACTACACTACGTGTCTGCTGTTCAACACCTCAGCTTACATGATCTTCGTGTGTAAACATTAATCTGTATGTTCACTCCATATGTTCCTTCACCTTTCTCTGATGAAGGCTTTTGTTAAACCACCAATGTATGCAATAAGTCATTTGTGTCCAATGTATATTTTCAGCCTTCGGGCTGCAAACTTTTTCAATAAACCGTTTATTATTATTATCTCACACACACACACACACACACACACACACACACACACACACACACACACACACACACACACACACACACACACACACACACACACACACACACACACACACACACACACACACACACACACACACACACACACACACACACACACACACACACACACACACACACACACACACACACACACACACACACACACACACACACACACACAGGAAATTTTTAACTACTGGAGAAGAGGGTCTTACCTGCCGAAGAACCTGAGGTGGTCATTATCATCCCCTTGGCGGGTGACGATAGCACAGGCGTTGGCGAGCTTACGGAAGATAGAGTCAGGATAGATGTGGTGGATATTGAAGTCAGCATTACGACATCCAGCTGTCTCCTTGATCACCTCCCACACCACCTCACCGTACTCCGCCTACAGGTGAGAGAGAATGAGGAAGAGGGTGTTACTGAGAGAGAGAGAGAGAGAGAGAGAGAGAGAGAGAGAGAGAGAGAGAGAGAGAGAGAGAGAGAGAGAGAGAGAGAGAGAGAGAGAGAGAGAGAGAGAGAGAGAGAGAGAGAGAGAGAGAGAGAGAGAGAGAGAGAGAGAGAGAGAGAGAGAGAGAGAGAGTGTGTGTGTGACGGAAAAGATACAGCAGCTTGTAATTAATTGCCACTTCATTTTCTCTTTTGTTATTATTGTTAGTTGTTATTGCTATTTCTCGGTCCAAATCCTACTAGGCCCCAACCTAACCTAACCTAACCACTGAAACTGCATTGCATTAAGACGAGGGCCCCTTATAATTAGGGGCCCATTAGGACTGAGGACCATTTTATCAGTCACACTTTGATGTCATAGCTGCTGTCACCTCCCCCCTCACCTGTGTAAAGGTAAAAGGTAGGAGGTAATTAACTCTCACGTGTCATCTCCCGGGCAGTGGTTCTTGAAGGTTCCCCAGGGTGAGTAGGTTAGGTTAGGTTAGGTTAGGTTAGGTTGACCTTATTTACCTTAGGGCCACCCACTAAGAGAAAGAGAGAGAGAGAAAGAGAGAGAGAGAAAGAGAGAAAAAGATACAGTGAGAAAAGGAGAAATTGAGTGAGAAAGAAAGAGAGTGATAAAGAGAGAGAGAGAGTGAGAAAAAGATAAAACAAAAAGACTGAGAAAGAAAACCAGAGAAAGAGTAAGAAAGAGAAGAAAACAGAGAGAAACTAAATTAGAGAAACTATACTAAAAGCTTACACCCAGCTGAGAACATCCGCTCCTCGACACAGGAACACACTCGTCAATATTATTCTCTTAACAGTGAGAGTCGCTCAGTCGTGTAACAAAATCCACCAGTGAATTTTGCGACAACGGGAAAGTAAATATTCTCTTTAAATTCAGGCACAGCATCACGTATATTCAAGACCCAGTACAAGCCCCAGTATTTGCCACCAGTCCAAGGTTAGCTAGACCAACACACATTCAAGACCCAGTACACGCCCCAGTATTTGCCACCAGTCCAAGGTTAGCTAGACCAACACACATTCAAGACCCAGTACAAGCCCCAGTATTTGCCACCAGTCCAAGGTTAGCTAGAACAACACACATTCAAGACCCAGTACACGCCCCAGTATTTGCCACCAGTCCAAGGTTAGCTAGACCAACACACATTCAAGACCCAGTACAAGCCCCAGTATTTGCCACCAGTCCAAGGTTAGCTAGAACAACACACATTCAAGACCCCAGTACACGCCCCAGTATTTGCCACCAGTCCAAGGTTAGCTAGACCAACACACATTCAAGACCCAGTACACGCCCCAGTATTTGCCACCAGTCCAAGGTTAGCTAGAACAACACACATTCAAGACCCAGTACACGCCCCAGTATTTGCCACCAGTCCAAGGTTAGCTAGACCAACACACATTCAAGACCCCAGCACGCCCCAGAACTTAACAGCGAAACGACTCACCAACCCAACAGCCCAAGAACCCAACAAGCTGACAAAGATAATAAAATAAATACACAAAGTAATTAAGTAGAATAGGTAGTGAAAGTCTTGATACTTCCTGGTGAGTGTGGGAGGAAGGAGGGGGAGGAAGATGGATGTCTCTCTCTCTCTCTCTGGCAACAAATTAAAGAGTAGTGTCAAGGAACGCGTAAACGGGGGATGAGTAATGTTTCATCCATTCAGAGAGAAGGAGAAGAGGAAGGAGGAAGAGGAGAGGAGGAGGAGGAGGAGGAGGAGGAGGAGGAGGAGGAGGAGGAGGAGGAGGAGGAGGAGGAGGAGGGGGTGTAGTAAATCTAGGAGAGAGATGATAGAGGTGTGACCCAGATTGTGACCCAAATTAAGGTGGAATAATAATAATAATAATAATAATAATAATAATAATAATAATAATAATAATAATAATAATAATAATAATAATAATAATAATAATAATAATGATAATAATAAAGCTGTAGGAGGAAAATAAATAACATTAAACACCAGAATAAATAAACAGAAACGAATACAAATATATATCAGATTTTTTTCTTAATAACGTTTTATATAACATACACAAGGAGGGAGGGAGGAGACGAGGGGGGGGACGGGGAGGGAGGAGGGGGAGGGACGGGGAGGGACGGGGACGGGACGGGGGACGGGGAGGACGGGGACGGGGACGGGACGGACGGGAGGGGACGGGGGGAGGAGGACGGGACGGGGAGGGACGGGACGGGAGGGACGGGGAGGAGGACGGGACGGGGAGGACGGGACGGGGAGGGGAGGGGACGGGATGGGACGGGAGGGGACGGACGGGGAGGGGAGGGGAGGGGGAGGGGGGACGGGGAGGGGAGGAGGGGACGGGGACGGGACGGGAGGGGACGGAGGAGGGGACGGGACGGGACGGGGAGGGGACGGGAGGGACGGGACGGGACGGGGGGAGGGGACGGGAGGGGAGGACGGGACGGGGACGGACGGGAGGGGACGGGACGGAGGGAGGGGACGGGGGAGGGAGGGGACGGGAGGGAGGGGAGGGGACGGGACGGGGGGAGGAGGGAGGGGAGGGGACGGACGGGACGGGACGGGGACGGGACGGGAGGACGGGACGGGGAGGGAGGGGACGGGACGGGGGGAGGGGACGGGACGGGGAGGACGGGAGGACGGGGACGGAGGGGACGGGACGGGACGGGGGGAGGGGACGGGGAGGACGGGAGGGGAGGGGGGGGGAGGGGAGGGAGGGAGAGGGGACGGAGGGAGGACGGGAGGGGAGGGGACGGGACGGGAGGGGACGGGACGGACGGGAGGGGAGGGGAGGGAGGAGATGGGACGGGGAGGGGAGGGGAGAGGGAGGGAGGGGACGGGGAGGACGGGGAGGGGACGGGGAGGGGAGGGACGGGGAGGGGAGGAGGGGAGGGGACGGGGAGGGAGGGGATGGGAGGGGAGGGGACGGGAGGGGACGGGAGGGGGACGGGGAGGGAGGGGAGGGGAGGACGGGGAGGGGAGGGGGAGGGGACGGGAGGGGAGGACGGACGGGAGGGGAGGGAGGGGAGGGGACGGGACGGGACGGGGAGGGGAGGGGACGGGGAGGGGAGGGGACGGGAGGGGGGGAGGACGGGGGACGGGGAGGGACGGGGAGGGGACGGGAGGGGACGGGAGGGGACGGGAGGGGACGGGACGGGACGGGGAGAGGGAGACGGGAGGGGAGGGGACGGGATGGGGACGGGACGGGACGGGGAGGGAGGACGGGGAGGGGACGGGACGGGGAGGGGAGGGGAGACTCACCTATCCCCTCTCCCCAGTGAGCCACCACTTTTAACTCTCGCCTAAGTGGGTTAACTCACTAAGTGGCCGGAACACTCAGGGTCGTGTTGTAGGAAAAAGGTTTCTCATGGCAGCGAAAACAGAATATCTCCGATACTTATATAGAGAAATATTGTTTATCTTAATTTATTCTTCACTCTAATGTCCACAAAATAATGTAACCAAACCAACCCAACCCAACCCAACCCAACCCAACCCAACCCAACCCAACCTAACCTAACCTAACCTAACCTAAATTAACGACAGAGAGACGAGCAGACAGGACGGAGAGTTTGACGGGTGGGCGAAGTGACGGGACAAAGATCTGGGTATTTGTATAGTCGTATTGAGGTGTACAATCGCCTGCACTTATACCTGGTACAGTGACTGGCACGTTTGGTGAGATGTGGCAACTCTGTGGAAAGCTTACCTATCATCCTTAGTCTGGCTACTATTGTGAGGCTCCTTAGGGCCACTCCTGGGAGTTTTAACAAGATGTAAACAAACAGTGTAATGTACTCCCAACACCTGTAAACTAGCACCATACAGTATACAGGATGTCCCAGAAAATTGTCTCTAAAATAATGTTGTTCGGAAAAGTACATTACACAAAATTCTTTATTTATTTTTGCTGTATTTTAATGCCAAAGTCTGAAAGTTTTTTTTCACACCACATGTTCAGTGTAAGCCCCTTTCACACCACATGTTCAATGTTTGTATTCTAACGGCTGGATTGTTCATCACTCTTGGGAAATTTTCAAGTGGAATATTCTGAATTCCACGTCGGATGTTGTCCTTGAGTTGTTCAAGGTTCCTTAGTTTCTTGTTGGCGTAAATCCCATCCTTTAAATACCTGCAGTAGAAATTCTCTAATTTCCCTTGCGGTATGTGGAGGAGTTCCATCTTGCTGGAACCACAGAGTTCTCGTACGTATTTGCCCATTCCTACGACGAACTTGTCTGCGCAGTTCTGGAATGTAGAAGTCCTCTAACATCTGACGATCACTTGATTGACAGTCACTGTTCTTCCATCACCACCCTCGAAAAAGTATGGTCCAATGATACCATACCAGCCTGTGGTCACCCACATTGTAACTTAAGAACAGACCGAGGAGTTTGTTCAACCCGAAACTAAGGAACCTTGAACAACTCAAGGACAACATCCGACGTGGAATTCAGAATATTCCACTTGAAAATTTCCCAAGAGTGATGAACAATCCAGCCGTTAGAATACAAACATTGAACATGTGGTGTGAAAACAAACTTACAGACTTTGGCATTAAAATAAAGCAAAAATAATTAAAGAATTTTGTGTAATGTACTTTTCCGAACAACATTATTTTATAGACATTTTTCTGAGACATCCTGTATTACCTGCCATACCTGTAAATCGGCACCATACATTACCTGCCATACCTGTAAATCAGCACCATACATTACCTGCCATACCTGTAAATTAGCACCATACATTACCTGCCATACCTGTAAATTAGCACCATACATTACCTGCCATACCTGTAAATTAGCACCATACATTACCTGCCATACCTGTAAATTAGCACCATACATTACTGCCATACCTGTAAATTAGCACCATACATTACCTGCCATACCTGTAAATTAGCACCATACATTACCTGCCATACCTGTAAATTAGCACCATACATTAC